CAACCCAGACCAGGACTGCTGCCTACTACAGGTCACTACCCTCAACTTCATCTTTATTCCAATTGTCATGGGGATGATATTTACCCTGGTAAGTGGGGACAGCGTGTCATTCTTAGCTCTTTTACATACTCTCACTATACGGAGGGCTGGACAGAAATTTATAAATTTAATCATCGAGGAAGAAATCTTTGAAGAATAATTTTTTTTAAAAAAAAATTCTGAAAGCAGATTTATATATTAGGAACAGATTTATGGAGGAGTTAATCATATCTGAGAATGTCTTATCTCATTTTTTTTTGCATCTTTGTATAGTTATCGCTAATATTGGAGAAACATCATCCTTTCAGGGATAATATGGAGGCTTATATATGAGCACTGTATGTCAGGACCTTGAGGCATGCTTGTGGTGTCATAAATAGAATACTAAAATGTAGGGTGACCACTCGGTCCCTGTGTGATGGTGACTATTCAAGCCTTAGCCAAGAATTAGATTAGTATACAACAAATATGTCTCTGGCCTATTTTCCAAGTTTTTAAAAATTTTGACTGGATTGGGAACTTGAGAGTTCATGCGATTTATCTTCGCTGTCCTTTAGGCTTATGTTCAGAGCTGCGTGGGGTTCCAACCTCCACACTGAAAATAGTTTTATTCTTTTTTTAATGGTAAAATAAATAATGCATACTCATGGAAAGAACTTAAATAATACATAAATACATCGAGAAAGGAAAGGTGACCTAGACGTTGACTGTCCTATAACTATTAACTTTTTGGGAGTTGTTCTTTATTGTGTCCATTATTATGTACATGCATACGTCCACTCTCTTAAATAATTTTGTATAATTGAGATTATATCATACATGCTGTGTTGGTTGTTAGGCACCTCTCCCCTCCCTCAAGGTTAAGTCACATTAATGACCTAGTTCTATATTCAAATTCCCTGTACTTCATGCTCCTACAGTTCTGTACAGACCAACATATACATAAACATATTTAGAGATTGTGTGGTTTATTTTACCAAACATGTGATCAGATGTATGTTTCATGCATCTGTTTGACTTGCTCAAAATATCTCATCAGGATGCCTTCAAGTCATTTCGTATAGCTCCCACCCAGTTTTTAAAAATTGACTTCAGTGGTAGTCTGTGTGTGTGTATCCTGATTTACTCAGCTATTTGAGAGGCTTTCTTTAGCAGAGTTTAAATATGAAGAAATTTCATTTTGTGGCCCAGCCAGTGTAAATTTTGTCTAGACTGTCTTATTTCAGGGTAAGCTGTAGGAAAACAAGGTTGTTGGATTTGGGGACTGAATTTGCTTTTTCTCTGCTAGTTTACTATCAATGTGAGCACGGACATGCGGCATCATCGTGTGAGACTGGTGTTCCAGGACTCTCCTGTCCGTGGCGGCCGGAAACTGCGCAGCGAACAGGGCGTGCAAATCATCCTGGACCCAGTGCACAGCGTTCGACTCTTTGACTGGTGGCATCCTCAGTACCCATTCTCCCTGAGAGCATAGTTACTGCTTCTCGTCGCTGAGGGCAGCCCTGAGCTGGGCCAGTCCATTAGTAATCAGATTCCGGTTTGGAAGGGGCGTCCGGATTGTATATCTGGTCAGTAAGGCACGTGCTCTTCCAGTTCCCCGGGCTCCTGGTAGGGGAAGGAGAAGGATTGAATCGAGAGGAAAAACAACTATGATTTATAAACATATTTTAATGTAAAAAATGTGCATTTGAAAGGAGAAACCTGGCCCCATTTTCTTTGTTAAACCCCATTTGGTGCTATTGAGTTTGTTGTTCTTTATTCTTTTATCCCAGCAAAAATGGATGATCTTGCTCTAGGGAAAAATTAAACTCTTGAATCTCCAAACAAGGAAGTTTCAGCCTTCCCTTGTGATCAGAGAGGAGCCTTAGAGGCCTAAAATTGTTGCTACTATTGCTTCCCATTAAGCTCCCCCTCAAATTCAAGTGAATATTTTCTCTTCTCCCTTTACCCTCCTCCAGAAATAAAGCAGGTGACAGGGTTTTCAGAATCTTAGAAGATTGACTTGTGTATCTTTCTTTAAAAATCACTTTTGGATATTTGCATAAATATTTTTTTGCCAATTTGGATTTTTGCACGAGGCTTGATAGTGGTGGTGATGATGACTTTGTGCCCTTGGTACTATACTAGGAACTTTACACGATAACACTAATTCTCATGATCCTGCAAGGTAGGTGATACTGGTCCCATTCTGTGGTTGAGAAAACTGAATCCGTGACTTACCCAAGGCCATGCAGCCAATAAATGGCGGAGGATTCTGACCCAGGTCTTTTTGCTGTCCCACAGTTAAAAAGTTCCGTTTCATTCCCTCTGGTAGATGGTGGCAAAAGGGAAGAGGCAGATTGTACATAGATAAGAAAGTAAGAGGGTAAGTAAAAATTTGATTGTGGTATACCTTATCCGTAATCAGCCTAAAAGGTATATATGAAAGAGTCTTTGGAATATGTGTTTCTTTATTTTATTTTATTTTATTTTATTTTATTTTATTTTATTTTATTTTATTTTTTATTTATTTTATTTTATTTTATTTTATTTTATTTTATTTTATTTTTTTTATGTTTATTCATTTTGAGAGACAGAGAGAGACAGAGCATGAGCGGGGAAGGGGCAGAGAGAGAGGGAGACACAGAATCCGAAGCAGGCTCCAGGCTCTGAGCTGTCAGCACAGAGCCTGACGCGGGGCTCGAACTCACAGACTGTGAGATCGTGACCTGAGCCGAAGTCGGATGCTCAACCAACTGAGCCACCCAGGCGCCCCTGGAATATGTGTTTCTAAGTAAATTGCAAAACAGACCAAGAAAGGCAGAAGAGTAATGATATTTTCATTGAATTGTTAGGCATTTATTATGCTGAAGGTCATTTAAAAAAAAATGCATTCTGTGTTGAAACCAGCCTCCTGAACTATAAGCACTTCGTGATCTGCCTCTGCCTTGGCCTGCCCTATGCTGCCTATCATTCTGTGTGCCTACAGGAGCCTGGCCTTACATCCCTGCAGAGATGCTAATGTCCTGTTAGAGCACTTGCTGTAGCTGGTGTACTCTGAGAAGAGGTTCGTGGGTGGGATTTTTGGTTTTATTTTGTCTTTCCTAACAAGATAACCTTGCTATTTGACCTCCCTCCCCAGACCCCCAAATTAGCTGGTGTGAGCTGGATACTAGCTGGATGGTGCCAGGAGATTCAGATAATAGCCTCAAGCCATGTAAATCTTATGGGGGTAATTATTACCACAAACCAAACTGTTAAATTAGCGTGTGGTTTTTTTCCTTAACTATCCTCCCTAACCCCTACTAGTTAAAGAATATTCTTAGGAAGCATCTGTTTAAGACTGCTGCTAATAGCTAAACCTTACCCCACACCGAGGGTGGTACTAAAAGCTGTTCACATGGAAAGTGAGCCTGGGTCAGTGAAAATCAGAATTTGAGTATGTGAATGATAAAAATAAACAACCCCCGCCCCCCTCCAAGGACAATAACACCTTGCAAAGGTCTACAATCAAAAGTTGCTTTTTTTGAGGCAGAAGGGAAGAAGCACAGAACTCTGGTTCCCTGGACTAATGATGCCATGAAGCAGCAGGGAATTATTCTGATGGATCGTGTATACCCCATTTAGGAGGTACCTTTAAAAGGGGAGTGAAACTAATTTGGCTTAATAATTGTCTTCTGACTCAACTTCTAAGTTTTGGTATTAAACTTTGTGGTGATGATTGATACAATATTAGATACCTCCTCAGCTGTTTTCTTAGCATGATATTGACAAACACTTGGTTATGGTTTCAGCCTTCCTTCTGCATTGGCCAAGTTGCCTTTTCTAGGATGATTCATGTTTTAGTGAAAGGATGTGTGAAGTGTCCCAGGGATTTCCTTTCGAAGAACCCCAAGCCACCTGGAGAAGAGTTGGAACTTTCTGGACTACTTTTGTAAAAACTGCTTTGTAATTTTCACTTCTTAAAAGTATATCTCTTGGTTTTGCTCTCAGGGTCAAACAAAATTACACAAATTTAGCTGTGTTTCTCACCCCCATAATCAGAATTACTCAGATTTTCCTGTCTTCCACCGAAGATCTAAGGAAACTAAGCCACTTGGTGAATATACTGGGCGAAAGAAAAAAAAAAAAAAGAACGGTATTATGTGTCGTTCTGATTTCAACTACATACAGCATTAGTTGCAGAAGATCCGGAACATGTTGTGTGTAAATCTATAAATATGTACACATTGCATGTATATAAAAATTCTTCACACTTGTAGTGGTGCGCACTGGGTATCCTAAAGAATTGAGTAGGCACTGTGATGAGACTTCACAAACCAGATGGGAAAGATGCAATTAATAGCCACACGGGACAGGGTATGGAGCAATTCAGGAAAATGGAGAGATTTAAGTAAAACTTGTCAGTCAGGAATCTGGCATGGAGACTGTCTTCATACTATGTGTATGTAACAGACATTTCATATTCTAGTAACAGTGTTAGCACGGACAGGTGCCTGAATTCAGGCTAGCGATACAGTTCATTGAAGTATCGCAACTGTATTCGGAAATGTATTCGGATTTCAAGGTTCCCCACTTAGGAAATAGATGCAACCAAAAGAAAAGTAATAAAGTGGTATGAGAGCAGGTGTGAAAGGTGACAAACCATTGGCAACCATTCAAAGGCCAGGACAGGCCAATTTAGGGAGCCGGTGGTTGGATTAGGAATAAGGGTAGAGTACAAATGGAGGGGCAGGACGTGTGCTCCTGGGAAGGAGGCAGGGGACTGCTGAACCCTGACACTTCAGTGGTGTTGGGTAAAACCCTGATTCTCCACCTCCTCAGAAGGGCTCTCCGGGCCAAGCCAAGATGGCGCGCAGTAGCATAGCGGCTCTCGTCACGTGCTGGGGCAGGGGCGTGGCCTCGGGGGAGCCGGCCAGGCCCCGCCTTTCGGGGTGGGGCCAGGGGCCTTTAGGGGAGGGAGGGGCGGGGCCTAGAGGCGAGGCGCTTAGGCGCTGGCGGAGGCTGCAGCTACCTCCGCGCTCGCTCCGCTCCCTAGGACGTGTCTGGCTCCCCCGAGTCGGGGGCGGCTCCCTTCCGCCTCGGAGCTGAGCTGCCTGGCTCTCGACGACTGCAGGCAGGTGAGCGCCCAGAACCCGGGCTGGGAAAAGGATGCCTCTTCTTCCCACCTCCAGCTCCCCTCCAGTTTGGGAAGGGGTCTCTGTCTAGCGCGCCTTGGAAAACAGCCCCGTTTTACTCCGGATGTGTCGTCTCCGGCTGGCAGAGATATTGCTCTCTCCGCCCCCCCTCGCCGGCTTTTGCAGTGCCCTGTGCCCTTGGGGGTGAGAATGGGGGGCGATGCCCGGTTTGCGGGAGGGCGTGGAGTTCTCCCTCATCTCCACCATCCTCGGAGGAGGGGGGCTGAGTTGGCAAGTCTCCCGGTGGGAGCTAGATGGACTGCGCCCCCATTTCCCATCCAGGAGAGTCAGAGAAAAAGCACCTCTTAGCTCTTGGGCCGGCTCCGCTGCTTTGGGCACAGGAGGTACTGAGGTCTTCGAGCTTGCCGGGGGGTCGTAATCCTTCCCGCGTTGCTCCTAACACCCCTTCTTAATATCGCTAGCTCTCCGTTCCTTGAACTGCCAGTCTCAGGCTGTGCCAGAAATGCCCCCATCTCCGCAGTGCCGGGGCTGGGATGGAAGGAGCGGCCAACCCGAGGTCTGGTGGGGGTGGGGGTGAGAGTGGGCGCAACCGGAAAAGAGGGCTGGAATAGATTCCTGAACTGGGAGGATGGGAGTGGGGAGTTGACTTTGAACCACGCAGTAGGAGTGTTTTCCAGTATAGATCCTGCAGGTTTTGATGGTGGGTGAGAAGAGAGAGGTCAGGTTGGAGGACTTGGAAATGTGGTGTGGGTGGTTTTCTTTGAGAAGGAGGAGGGATCCAGGACAAGGTGCCACTAGGAGCTGATGTCACCTTTGAGGAGAGGTCTGCTGGCAGTATCCATTTAGAGGGGTATGTTTGTTGGGGCTGCTATTCTGCTGTTCTATGTGGTGAGCGAGTGGTTAAGGAGGAGGCTTTGCTTAGTTAGCATGGAGATCCCCTCCTGGTGGGAGCTGAACAGGCCCCTCCAGTAGCCAGGTTTCAGGGACTTCCCTGTCTTTCCAGAGCTGTTGGAACTGATACCTAGTACTTTTGTTCAACACCCAGCAAACATTTATTTGGTACCTACTGTGTGCCAAGCACGATGCTATGTGCTGGGTCTTTTGAAGGCAATTTACGGCAATGGAGCAGCTGAAAGGTACACACTCTGTTAACAACTCCCCCGCTCCCATTTTATTGCACTGCTGTTGGATTAGGAAAAAGCAGAGCCCTGTCTACATGCTTTCAAACAGCTGTCTGAACTGGATTCCAACTCATCCACCCACTACCACTATTAACTGGACAGGTAGTCCCAAGAGAACCTGCCTTAGCAAAAGGGACAGTTTGAACGATTTTTCTTGGCTATTTTCTAGGACTTTGTCCCGAGGCCCGAGGAGGCTGCCTGAGATAAATAGCATCTCAAAATAATGAGATGATGAATCGCACAATGATTATTAGAGGCCAAGAATGCACGAGACACTCGGCACAGTGGGAGATGCCCTCTTGTGGAAGATAGAAGAGTGTGGGGAAGGGGGTGTGAGAAATCTCATTTAGTGGTACCTGGGCGTGTGCCGATGAGCATGTCATGATGTCAGAACCGTGGAGTATATGAGGTCTGGCAGTTGGGTGATAAGGAGGGATTGGAGGGGCAGGGTAGGGCAGGCAACCAGGCTCCTAGGTCTCTTCTCTGAGTTGGCTGGAATCTTAGAGTTGCCAAGAGTTGTCAGGGATGTCAGTGGATCTTTCAGAGCCTATGAGGCTAGCAGGGTGCAAGCTGGGGAGGGGAGGAGGAGTCAAATTTGAAGGCTCAGTAGGGCCAGGGAGCCGGAGACCAAGGGGGCTTTAGGATATGGAGACACTAGCTGAGGCCTTTTTATGCCGGGGGGACTCTCCCCTGGGGCCTTAGGCCCTTGGATAGGTTGCTGTAGGAGCAAAGGTGTGGCTTCTGATTGGCATGGGGTTGTGCATGGCATGTGTGTCCTGGAGAGGAGGTGGTAAGGAGCAGAGAGGACCACAAGAGTAAAAGCTGCCTCAGAGTCTAGGTCCCAGGTATGGATTCAGGAGGAATGGAGGGGAGGTCACAGGGAGGGGTGGTGTGTATTGCAGCCACATGAAGTCACCATCTGTCCCCCCTCTGGCCTGCTAGCTAACTGACCTATAATTAGCTCTGGAGGGCATACGGTGCTGGCTCACAGGAGCGTGGCACTGTGGATGGCTAGTGGGGTAAAAAGTACTCTGATGGACCGTGGTGCTTGGCCAAATCTGAGAGGGGCAGCTTCTAGGGGACCCTCAGTCTTTGCTGTGCAGAGAGGGGCCTGTGGGAACTGAGAATGCCATGGAGCAGGGCCGGTGGGGGGAAGTAGCCGTGGGAGAAGGAGCTCTGAGCTTGGATGGTGTGAAACTCCAGGGCTGGGCGGGGCTTGAGGACTGCCCTCTTCTCCTTGGCAATGGCTCTCCAATCCCACAGGAAACATTGCTGCCCAGTGCATTGCTCTGGTCTCCGAGAGCCTTGGGTCCTACAGACCCCTCTCCCGTCAGGTGTCTTCTGTTCCGCCAGGCGAGGCCAGCTCCAGCACGGAACAGCTTCTTGCCTGTCGGGCTGAGAGGCCTTGGCTAGGGCTGCTTCATTCTGAGAGAGCTGGAGGAGAAACTGCCACTGGTTAATTCAATTGGACGTACTCCCAAGTGGTGCTCGGGGCTGACCCCAAGGCTGTGTCAGAGACGGGTTGTTTGGTCGTGTGCTACTCTCTGTTGCTTTCGAGCCATTTCTTGTATACGGTAGTCCCCCTTGTTGCAGGGGGACCCACGACATTCCAGCACCCTCCGTGGATGCCTGAAACCGCGGATAGTACCAAATCCTATGTATGGTGTATTTTTTTTCTTATGCTACACACCTATGATAGTTTAATCTATAAGTTAGGCACAGTGAGAGATCGGCAACAATAACTGGTAATAAAATAGAACAATTGTAACAACGGACTGTAATGAAAGTTACATGTGAATGTGGTCTCTCTCCCTAAACATCTTACTGAACTCACCTTTGTTCTTGTGACGACGTGAAATGACAAAGGGCCACAAGATGAGATGAAGCGAGATGAATGACGTAGGCACTGTGATGTCGCCTTAGGCTGCTGTTGACCTTCTGATGATGCATCAGAAGGAGGATCCTCTGTGGTTGACCACAGGTAGCTGAGATCCCAGAAAATGAGACTGTGGATCGACGAAGGGGCAGGGGGGAACCACTCTATCTGTGTCCTCTCAAGTAGACTGTGAACTTCTTGAGGGTTGACGGCATATCTCACACGCCTTTTGAATCTATAACAATGCTTAAAATCCGGTATTGGATTCATGGAAATCAGCTCAATATGTAGTTGTTGGATTGAATCAAAGAGGTCTGTCTTCTGATTCCCTGGGTTCAAAGAAGCAGGGCTGCCTTGCAACTAGAAATATTTAACCTAGAGCAGAGAAGCCCCTGGGGACCCCGTATAGTGTGGTCTTACATCTCAGTGGGAGAATTAGATTCTATAGGCAGTAGGTAAAGTGAAAATCCCCAGATCCCCCATGAAGCATGGTGTATGGGTTTAGGTCTCTAATGCTGAACAGTAGCGTTACTGTAGATCAACATATACATTATGTTAATAGTATTCATGGTATATTAATTGTATAATATGTGCAGTGATTTTTAAGAGAGTATGTACAGTATAATTTTGTGGTTAAGTGTCAGATGAAGTAGCTGCTTTGCATTAGAGGCGTTTATTGCATATTTTGCTTGGCCAATAGAGTTGAAGTCTCGTAACTAAAATATGTGGCTGATGTGACTTCATGGCCACTGTCTTCAGATGGATGACTGTCATTTCAGAGGGGAGACAGGTTTGCATTCGGTGCAAGGAAAAGTTTCCTTAGGACAACGAGGGCTACCTCATTTAGCGGTGAGCTCCCATTCCCGAAGGATCATCAAATGAAGACTGAGCTGTCAGGGATGTGTAGAAGGAGCTCCCACCTTGTGTGGGAGGTTGGCCTACGTGACCTCGGAGAACCCTTCCAAGTAGGAATGTGCAGTTCTAGGTAAGGGACAGGGTAGGGTGGGCAGTGGATGGCAGGGGTCCTTGGCACATGCCACAGAAGAGGACTCTCCTTTGGCTTGGAGGAGGATGCTGAGAGTGGAAGGCTTGGGGGGTGGGGGCCAGGCTAGGACCTCGGCCTGGGCTGTTTTATGAGGAACGACGTTCTGGGAGATCCAGGGGGTATCCACCGCCATCTCTGATGCACCTGGAGCCCTGGGCCTGGGAGACCTGCAGGGTAGCTCTGATGGGTAGCAGTATAGAAGGGTGGGCTGGACCCAGTTCCTTGAACTCCGCTCACACGAGACTAACTGTGGAGCACCCCCAAAATGTTTGGCTTTTGTTTGGGGCAGAGTGCCTGGAACAAATGGAGTTTTCATTCTTTCACTATCATCCCCATCCCTCCCTCTTCTCCCTGTCACACGGGTTCAAGGCCATGCGTGCCCTTCGTGCACTTACAGTCTGTCATGACCAGCGATGTATGCTTTCATGATCAGACACACACACCCATGCATAGGCTCTTGTGGCGCCCGCATGCTCTTAGGAGCACACATGATTTCTTGACTCCTAGATGCCCGGGCTTATATAACCACACACACCTTCACTCCCATGACTATACACACACTCACAACACATTGTGATGATCAGACTCATAGTCATGTGTGTCATGAGCCCTTGGCGTATGACCACACACAGTCTGTCTCACCATTACACATACCTATGCACTGTCTCACGCACGTGCTCTCAGAGAGGACCCTGTCCTCACGACCGTGCTCTTACACGTGGGCACTCTCTCATGGCCATACATACACAGCACACGTTCTCATGACTGTTACACAGCATTGCACAGATACACGGGTCCCCACACACGTCCTCTGTCTCATAACCTCTCACACCCTTTTGTGCCCGTGCACACATGCACACTTTAGGATGCAGTTCTGAGT